GCCTGCCTGCCCCAGAGATGATCCCGGGTTCCATGTTCCCACAGCTGAGCATTCTGCTTGCTGGCTGATCGATGACAGAACAGAAAGCCAGCAAGGAATGCAATAATTCACAGAGACCTTTAAACAACTCTTCGCGATTTTTTTAGATAACTGAAACAATGGAAAAAAAAAGGGGGGTGGGGGGGGGGGGGGTCGAGAATAAGCCAGGAACCAAAAGAAACTCAGGTCTATCTTTGAGAGGAACATTTTCGCCTTGTTCAACACAGTAGAATGTGAGAAGGGCAGATTGGGCGAGGATTGGGCTCGCGCCATTAGTGGCCTCGAGAAATTGAAAAGGGGGAAGGGGGGAATGCGACATAATTTAAAGTGTTTCGTCCAAATTTGGTAGTTTCGGTACTTGAATCCCAGGAGAGGATTGGAAATAGAATTAGTGCTTTCTAGTGATTTAACGTGATTTATGATCTCACTGAGTCAGCAGCTTTCATGTGGAGCTTTTCTTTAGTTCCTTACATCTTATAGTTTGTGTTAGTTTGATCGTCTGCTATTCTTTTGGGTAGGTGCGGAAATAAAGCGCCTCGTGTGCAGGTTGCGCATGTTTAAATAATCTCATAGCAGTTGGAAATTGCAAATAGGAGACCTCTAGCCACTGTCTGGGGGAGGGGGGTGGGGAGAGAAATCTGCATATTTCAAGAGTTCGGTGGTTAAATTACCTGACAGAAGTAAACCTTCTACAAATGTATATTTAACGAAAAATATAATTGACGTCGGGACGACGTCATTCTTAGTTATTTCATCAAAGGGCATCAGATAGACAGTGCAGCAGAAGATAGTAGGAGTTCGGAAAGAAAATTCAACGCGGAATGGGAAGCAAAGACGGATTTAATCAGTCTGGAACTGGTACCAGTAGCATGTCGACTCTTCGTTTGCTACTGGGGAGGTAGAACGAGCACTTGTGGAAACTTGTACATTTTTTATTTATTTGTTCATTCATACTGTTTAAGACAACTTTTAGACAATGGATCCTGAAATACTTTGGGTAGATTTTTAACTCCAAACTTTGCTAAGGCAGTGCCGTTAGGCTACTCTTTTTGTTTTCCAACTGCCAGGGGTATTTTTTATTGCGGGTTTCCGATTTTACTACCCAGAGACCTAAATTATTAGAAGTCGACACGAAAATTCCCAGCCTTCGCCGGAGCTTGAACCCGGGACCTCCACCAGCACTCGAGGCAGACGCCATGTCCCGAGACCACCCAGTCCCCTTTTTTTCTCATACCCCCTCCCCCACTCCCCCAATTCATACATCAAAGGGGATACAAATAATATAGTCAGCCATGCTAAGATCCCAACTTTACACTTGCTAATCCTCCGATTTCCTAAACAGATGTCATGTATTGGCTCCACAACGTACATCGTGTGTGATCTTCTCAATTTTGGCCTAACTTCCGGGGGAAAGGCGGGGGAGGGGGGTGGTGCGATCAATAGGAGCCTATTTTCACGTCAGCTAATCTCTGCGTGTTGTATTGTCCTTACAGCAAGCCCGTATAGAAAAATAATGTAAGATCTGTACTTCGCCCGTGAAATACTGCTGCGTACTTGTCTGGTACCTGTGAAATACTGATGCATGCGTAAATAACTTCACTCATGAAATGCTGCTGTATATGTAGGTAACCTGACCCATGAAATGCTGCTGTATATGTAGGTAACCTGACCCATGAAATGCTGCTGTATATGTAGGTAACCTGACCCATGAAATGCTGCTGTATATGTAGGTAACCTGACCCATGAAATGCTGCTGTATATTTAGGTAACTTCACGCACGTATTGGAGACCGAGATGACGGACAGAAAGGTTTTTCAAGTTCATCATCATCATAAACCACTTCTTCCGTTAAGCGGCGTGAAAGGGGGGGGGGGGGTGAATATTTTGCGATCCGGTGCACGATGACTGACCCTGGCTAATGTATTTATAGCATTATTTGCCTAAAAAGCCTGTACAGGATCGTTTGGCATCTTCACTGTGGCAGAGTTCTCACAGCAGTAGTTTGGCATCTTCACTGTGGCAGATTTCTCACAGCAGTAGTTTGGCATCTTCACTGTGGCAGATTTCTCACAGCAGTAGTTTGGCATCATCACTGTGGCAGATTTCTCACAGCAGTAGTTTGGCTTCCCAGATTTAATGAACCACGAAACGGCAATTATATCTTTGATGTTTATTGGCTGAAAGTTTTACGGGAGGAAAGTTCAGGAAGAAGCTTTGAGAAACTGGAGGAAGATTTTCTCTTTTAGCTCACCTCACACTGAGAAAACTGTTTAGCTAATTTCTAGAGGCTGTTTATGTTGTGATTATAGGTTGTATAAGAAATAGAGATTGATAGGTAGTATGGTAAGTAGGTGGGCAGATTTTTTCATAGGTAGGATATTAGAGAGGACGGTTATTGAATACACAATGAGATAGGTTGGTAAGTATATAGGTAGTTTCTTAAGTAGGTAAGTCTCATGGGTAGATAGGTTGTTTGGTTAAGTATACTCTTAAAAAAAAGACCTTTTCTAAATCCTTACTGACTTTTCAGCAACTGCTCTTTCTTTCTTTTCTTTTCTGATGTTTCTTTTCTTTCTTTCTTTTCTTCTTTCTTTTCTTTCTCTTTTTCTTCTTTCTTTCTTTTTTCTTTTCTTCTTTCTTTTTCTTTCTTTTCTTTCTTTCTTTCTTTCTTTTTCTTTCTTTCTTTCTTTCCTTTCTTTCTTTCTCTTTCTTTCTTTCTTTCTTTCTTTCTTTCTCTTCTTTCTTTCTTTTCTTTCTTTCTTTCTTTCTTTCTTTCTTTCTTTCTTTCTTTCTTTCTTTCTTTCTTTCTTTAATTTCCTTCTTTCTTTAATTTCTTCATTCTTTATTTTTTAACTGTTGGTTTGTTGTTTTGACAGGGAACTTCTCCACATGAGGAATCATTTCTGTGGAAAACCACCAGTCAGGTTAGCCAGTCTGAAGCAAGCACCAAGACTGAACTCACAACATCAGACCCCGAAACAAGTTTTCAAGGGACCATTTCAACTCTGTGCTGACTTCCAAAGTATCTGCAGAATTTTGGAGTCGATTTGAAAGTAACTTTTATAAACATGTTGCTGCTTCACAGTCTTGGCATTCTGTATCCTATCTGTCACTCCCTGTCACTATTCTCTCTCCATTCTTTTCTTTTGTGGCTACCGCTCTTCTTTCTCTCTCTCTCTTCTTAGCTCCCTCTTTCTGTTATCCCCTCTCCCTTTTTTCTCTTTCAGTCAATCTCCTCAAGGCATAGCTGGGCTCTGGACCCCCCTCCCCCCTACTTTTGTTTCCCCACTTTCCACTGTGTCTACCTGTCTGTACCATGTCACTGACTTCATACTATATTATGTTATTTTATTTCACATGACAGTTTTCCATGTGGGTTCTGGGGTCTCATTGTGAGGGAAACAATAATAAGACCCACTTCCCACAACAAGTATGTCATAAGAGTCAACTAATTGGGGGCTTCCTTTGAAGTGACACTTCATCTGCCTGAGCTGCGAGAAACAACCAACTGCACACAAAAAAGCCAGTAAAACAGATGTACACACAGCGCAAAACTCTGGCCCTGGCACAAAGCCGAAGTCTAAATGGACGAACTACCAGGACTTTCTGCCGGAGCTTACAGCCAGTGACCAAAGAAGAAGAAGAGGGTGTAACAGTCATTATTATTATACCTTGGGCATTCCCAGCTTGTCTTTGCTGTTCCCTGCTCTATTTTTTTTCCTTTTGTCTGTCTGTGACTCTGTCTCTCTCTCTCTCTCTCTTTTCTTTCTCTGTCTGTCTGTCTGTTTGTGATTACTTTTCTGTCAAATAACTTTATTGAATATTCCCTTTCATCATCATCTAGAAAATTATGGATGTAAGTTATTTATCTCTTGCTAGATAGGAACTGTGATGCTAATTGCAACATCAAAGCCCGGCAGGCATTTTACAAATCTTAATTCAATCAGAGAGAACATAGCATCCTGTGGATGTGTGCACTTGAGACTGGTAGACTTGCAGGCTAGATGTAGGCCGCAGGAGTTTTCATTGAAAAGAAATTCAAAATAAAGGATCCATTTTGCATTGCATCGCGCTAGACTGGTATTTTTATACATAAATATGAGCTCAGTAGGTGACCGCTGTCAGCATTACGCCGGCAGCCTTGGTGCCCACTTTAGACTGCATTGCCAGCAAGCTAAGGTCGGTTTTGAAGACAAAAATATGCCTTGATGAGGATTCAAACGCAATTCCTTCTGGCAGCAGGCGTGCTTTTGGCCACAGCTGTTGGCCTGTAACCTAAAAAAAAAAAGCTTTTAACAAAAATTTAGTTATTTTCTTGAAATTAAGTATGTTTTAGGTCCCTATGTACATTCCAGGACCCCCATTTTTCAGGTAAAAATAATAAAACCGCTCCCCCCCCCCCCCCTCTTTCAACAAGCATTTTGTAAAATCAACAAGCATTTTGTAAAAAGCGACTAATTAGTCGTATTTCATGGTGCATCTGCCAGAACCAACAATTTGCATAGAAATAAGTCAGGTCTAATCTGTGTGCATGCAAAAGTCAATTTCTGAAACAAGACTAAAGTTTAGAAGTGGCAAAACAACCATAACTTTCTGCCAGTTTAACAGCCAGTGAACGCTAAGAAGAAAAAGATTACAGAAGCATATTACAGTAATAGGTTAAAACTGCTGATAGAGACGTCTGGGGATCTCTCTGGCAAACTTCTACACCCCAAGGTAGAAGAGGAGCGACTAAGTAAAGTAAAGTATTATAGTAATAGGTAAAGTTAGTCCTATAGATGGTACGGTCGTTCAAATCTGAAGTATTAGGCCTTCACATAAGGATTCATAGCAGAAAGCAAAGTGGCAGATAGAGACTACCTAAACAAAAAGATGATTAGCTAATAGAAGTAGATTCCAAGTAACAAAACCGAAAAAAACATAATAAGCAACATGTTTTCAGTGACCTGATTTATTTCCAGTGGCCGAACCAGGGGCAGGCTTTGATTCACGGGGCCTAGGCCTCAGGGCTCAGAAGAAACTCCTGGGGAAGATGTCCAGTAAGAAGATTGCCATGTCCTTCATTGATGAGACCACTGGCCGATTGCTGGACAATGCACATCGACTGTTGAGGCAGTACAAAGGCAGCAAGAAGGAAGCAGACAAGTTACTCAAGTACATCATTAAATCTGTGGTCAAGGTAAAGATGATTTGCATTTCTGTAGATTGTTGGTTTGCATTGTTGTAGATTGTTGGTTTGCATTGTTGTAGATTGTTGGTTGGCATTATTGTAGATTGTTTTAGTTTGTACAGAAGTGCCTTCAGTGGACATCAAATTCTCTTAAGTGCTTCCATCTCCTGTCAAAGATCACGAGGATAATTTCAGCACACTGCACTTCTTCATCACATGCATTAAACGGGATGGAAAGTCTTGGTTGTTCATCCACTACTTGATTTTGATCATACACTAGGAAGCTGTCGACAACCGTGAAGATCAATTTCATATTCGTTGACTATGAGAAGAAGATGTAAGACACTCTGAAAAAATGGGATACACAAATTGGTTTAATATGTTGAGTAGACTCCCTGTTGTCCATGAGGTAGCCTGGAGGTGTCTGCTTATAAAACTAGAAATTCCTTTGCATGTCATTGGAATACTCCACAGTCTGTTTCAATTGCTGGTTTACTGTTTAAGAATTTGTTTTATCTGCTGTAGAGATAGCCATTAGAGATAACATAAAAGTATTTAATCAGCCAGATAGTTTATTAGCTTTACATTGTTCCAGTACTTGAGTTTTGTGTGCGCATCTGTTTCACAGATCTGGCTTACTTTTGTGAAAACTGTTGGTTCCTTACCTCTCAGGCACTTGTAATCTGACTTCTGAAGAATCATGGATCCATCTATGTTGACCAGGCTCCAGGTTGGGTACATGTTTCTAGGATGACCACAGAGAAATATAGACATGCCTTGACCAGTAGGGGCACTTGTCCTGTTGCACAGCCATGTGTGGTTTAGCCTTTCTGCAGCACAGTTCACCATCACCTTACCTAAGAAAATTTTCAGGTCTGCTCTGGTGCACAGCCATGTGTGGTTCAGCATTTCTGCAGCACCGCAGCACAGTTCACCATCACCTTACCTAAGAAAATTGTCAGGTCTGCTCTGGTGCACAGCCATGTGTGGTTCAGCATTTCTGCAGCACCGCAGCACAGTTCACCATCACCTTACCTAAGAAAATTTTCAGGTCTGCTCTGGTGCACAGCCATGTGTGGTTCAGCATTTCTGCAGCACCGCAGCACAGTTCACCATCACCTTACCTAAGAAAATTGTCAGGTCTGCTCTGGTGCACAGCCATGTGTGGTTCAGCATTTCTGCAGCACCGCAGCACAGTTCACCATCACCTTACCTAAGAAAATTTTCAGGTCTGCTCTGGTGCACAGCCATGTGTGGTTCAGCATTTCTGCAGCACCGCAGCACAGTTCACCATCACCTTACCTAAGAACATTTTCAGGTCTGCTCTGGTGCACAGCCATGTGTGGTTCAGCATTTCTGCAGCATCGCAGCACAGTGCACCCTTACCTTACCCAGGAACATCCTCAGGTCAGTGATCAAGGTGGGGGTGACTGACATAGATTGGTTGGAGTTGGGTTGGTTTTCAAGTATCAACGTCACTGCACATCAAATTGTCTATAAATGTTTCAGTCTTCTGTTGTAGATCACATAAGGAATCTTATTACAGTGCTTAAACTCTAGACCAGCAGTTCTCAAACTGGGTGCCGTGGAACCACAGGGGTGCCATGGCAGTAATCAAGAATTTTTCAAAATCTGCTTGAGATCAGCAAAGATAGCAGTTTAAAACAGAAATACCATGAAGAAAGCCAAGAATAGTTCTGAATGCAGGTTTATTCATAAGACTATGCTTTGGCAAGGATGAAGTTCATTCTCATCGTACATTTACATTTAAAAACAAACAAAAAAGATCCAGGAGCAACTAGTATTGAAGTAATAGCCGAGGACAGAAGGGAATAGAGAAATAGACCGTGAGTCCTGTGTGACACATAATGGCACAACCAGAAAGTGGATGAATGTAAAAATCCACATCATGAATAGTATGCCTGCTTGGGTTAGGGGCAGACATTGTATCACTAAGCCATTCCTCTGCATTATTATTGAGCATTTCTATGGTTAGGGCAATCTCTGTGCCGTCTGGACATTTACTGTTGCTCTCCATTTCACTCTCGCTGTCACAGCCTGGCTGTAAACCACAACACTGTGTGCCAACCACTGTTTTAAGAATAATAAAAAGAGGAGAGATATCTGTTTTTGTTGATCCTTAACTAGTTTAATTTGTCTTGTTTTCAGTGTTGTATTTCAATGCCTTCTTTGCTTCAGATTGGCATACTTTACAAAAATGACCAGTTTAACAGGGAGGAGTTGAACAATATTGATCAGTTTAAGCAGAAGTTCCATGCCCTGGCTATGACTGTGGTGTCATTTCATCAGGTTTGTGCTGTGTCTGTGCACATTTGGTTGATAGAATCACTGTGTGCACATGATTGGTGTACTGTGCAATCATAGATTTACATAGGTGGTGTTTGTTTTGTAGTTAACATTGCACTTGCCTCAGTCTTGCACCACCCCTCTATACCAGCAGTGATAAAAAGATAAATTATAGTCACAGTCTTTATTCCAGTTTTATCCCCATTTGGATTTTGGGGCCCCATTGTGAGGGGAAAAATAGATCCACTGTCTACCCAGCAAGTTGTAGGAGTCAACAACGCTTGAGCGGCAAGGATCATCCAACTGCACACAGATAAGCCAGTAAAATGGATTTACATGCTAAACAGGCTCTAACAAAAAGCCAAAGTCCTAATTGAGGATCAACTAGGACTTTCCACAGGAGCTTACATTTGGTAAACAATAAAGAAAGAAGATTCTAGCTTTAGATTCCAGTTGCAAACTATCCAAAGCCAAAGAACATGAGAAACAAACTAATCACCTGTGAAATGAGAAAACAAGATGAAATGATGTATGAGATATGAAGAGATTAGAACAGTCATCCTCATTGGGCAGGTCCTTTTCAGAATATCACAATTATTACAGTCCACACGAAAAAACTAGGTCCCTCGCCAGCTCTCCTACCTCCTGTGCACACTCCTGTCCGTCTGAGGTGTCTTTTAGTCCTGTACCCATCTTTGGGCTGGTCAGTTTCTGTCCATCTTACCTGATCACTGTGCCCTCCACCACTGTTCTCTCCGGTCTGCAGTGGCATTTAATATGGCCGAAGTATTTCAGTTTCCGAGATGAGATGTTGTTTATGAGCCAATTGTCCTTAGTGTTCAGATGTTTTAGAATGTCAGTACCATTGAAACATACCGATGGCTAAATTCATTGAGAAACAAAGATCACATGGTTCGACCACCTTGTGAGAATGAATTCAGTCATTTCGGTAGCAAGAGCATACAATATGAAAATAGAAACACCACGAGCTAGATCTAGAAGAACATGGATCAGATGAATATCTGACAGCCTAGGACTTTGTAACATCACAGCCTACCATCAATGTTTTAACATGAGAGGACTTTGTAACATCACAGCCTACCATCAGTGTTTTAACATGAGAGGACTTTGTAACATCACAGCCTACCATCAGTGTTTTAACATGAGAGGACTTTGTAACATCACAGCCTACCATCAGTGTTTTAACATGAGAGGACTTTGTAACATCACAGCCTACCATCAGTGTTTTAATATGAGAGGACTTTGTAACATCACAGCCTACCATCATTGTTTTAACATGAGAGGACTTTGTAACATCCCAGCCTACAATCATTGTTTTAACATGAGAGGACTTTGTAACATCACAGCCTACCATCAGTGTTTTAACATGAGAGGACTTTGTAACATCACAGCCTACCATCAGTGTTTTAACATGAGAGGACTTTGTAACATCACAGCCTACCATCAGTGTTTTAACATGAGAGGACTTTGTAACATCACAGCCTACCCTACCATCAGTGTTTTAACATGAGAGGACATTTGTAACATCACAGCCTACCATCAGTGTTTTAACATGAGAGGACTTTGTAACATCACAGCCTACCATCAGTGTTTTAACATGAGAGGACTTTGTAACATCACAGCCTACCATCAGTGTTTTAACATGAGAGGACTTTGTAACATCACAGCCTACCATCAGTGTTTTAAACATGAGAGGACTTTGTAACATCACAGCCTACCATCAGTGTTTTAACATGAGAGGACTTTGTAACATCACAGCCTACCATCAGTGTTTTAACATGAGAGGACTTTGTAACATCACAGCCTACCATCAGTGTTTTAACATGAGAGGACTTTGTAACATCACAGCCTACCATCAGTGTTTTAACATGAGAGGACTTTGTAACATCACAGCCTACCATCAGTGTTTTAACATGAGAGGACTTTGTAACATCACAGCCTGTCATCATTGTTTTAACATGAGAGAACTTTGTAAGATCACGGCCTACCATCAGTGTTTTAACATGAGAGGACTTTGTAACATCACAGCCTACTATCAGTGTTTTAACATGAGAAAACTTTGTAACATCACAGCCTACCATCATTGTTTTAACATGAGAGGACTTTGTAACATCACAGCCTACCATCAGTGTTTTAACATGAGAGGACTTTGTAACATCACAGCCTACCATCATTGTTTTAACATGAGAACTCTAATTTATACTAGTGCCATCCATTTTGTTAACATGAGAATTATAAACTATACTTAAACTGATGCCAGCATTGTTTTAATTGGAGAATTATAACCTATACTTAAACTGATGCCAGCAATGTTTTAATTGGAGAATTATAACCTATACTTAAACTGTTGCCAGCAATGTTTTAATTGGAGAATTATAAACTATACTTAATTAGTTAGTTAGTTAGTTAGTTAGTTAGTTAGTTAGTTAGTTAGTTGGGTTATCCTCATTGCACTCCGGACATGTCCATAGGTGCTCAGATCCCTCCCTCAGTATGAACCCCAACGTCCGATGGCTAATAGTACCAGTTCTATGTTGATTAACAGTCTTCTGGCGTAGCATGGTGTGCGTCTTTTTTTTGCTGTGCCGATCTTAACATCCCAAGTCTGCCATTCTGGCGAGTGATGTGGATTCACTGCCACCAAAGTCCTCTATTCTTCCCATTTCTCTGAGGGCATTGATAATATCAGCATGATCCATAGGCTGACCGTCGGTAGTGATAGCGGATCCAGCCAACCTGTCAGCTCTTTTTTAACATCGACGCCTGCGTGTCCCGGAACAAAAATAAAGGTGACTCCACGAACAGTGGACTTCTGTAATGATTCAAGCCATTGTCTTCGCACTGAACCTGCCTGAACCCTCCGGATCATACTCATTGAATCACTGAGTATACACACGCGGGTGTATTTTTGTGTTTCAAGCCAGGCAAGCGCTTGTGTCACTGCCATCACCTCCATTGTCATGCTGCTGGTTGTCATGGAGAAGGCGCCGTTGGCTTCTCTGACTGTTCTGCTCGCTGAGCGTGCTGTAAATGCCCATGCGCTTCTTCTTTGGCGTATAACGGATCCGTCTGTATAGATTATTGCATCTGCTTTGTCTGAATTTTCACCGATGAGAGCGTTGACCTCTGCATTAACAGCAACAGGATTCTCTTCTCTACATCGCCTGTTGAGTGTGATAATACAGGAAAATGTACAAATAAACGCCTGAGGCACAGGTATCCATTCTGCACCAGGTATGATGTCGGTTAGGCTGCATATTTGCCTAATACTTAAACTGATGCCAGCAATGTTTTAATTGGAGAATTATAAACTATACTTAAACTGATGCCAGCAATGTTTTAATTGGAGAATTATAACCTATACTTAAACTAATGCCAGCAATGTTTTAAATGGAGCATTATAAACTATACTTAAACTAATGCCAGCAATGTTTTAATTGGAGAATTATAAACTATACTTAAACTGATGCCAGCAATGTTTTAATTGGAGAATTATAACCTATACTTAAACTGATGCCAGCAATGTTTTAAATGGAGCATTATAACCTATACTTAAACTAATGTCAGCAATGTTTTAATTGGAAAATTATAAACTATACTTAAACTGATGCCAACAATGTTTTAATTGGAGAATTATAACCTATACTTAAACTAATGCCAGCAATGTTTTAATTGGAGAATTATAACCTATACTTATACTGCTGCCAGCAATGTTTTAATTGGATAATTATAACCTATACTTAAACTAATGCCAGCAATGTTTTAATTGGAGAATTATAACCTATACTTATACTGCTGCCAGCAATATGTTTTAATTGGAGAATTCTAACCTATAATTTATACTGGCAAAATCAGTATTATAGTGTGAGAATTCTAACTTATACTAAAACCAGTATGTTTTAATATGAGAATTCTTACCTATACTTATACTGGGGCCAGTAGTGTTTTAATATGAGAATTCTAACCTATACTTATACTAGCGCCAGCAGTGTTTTACATAAATATTATAATCTACACTTGCAGGTTGATTTCACATATGATAAGGCTTTTATGCGACAGAGTGTGGAGGAGTGCCGGCAGCTTCTACAGACCATCATCGAAAGGCATCTGACCGACAAATCCAAGTCAAGAGTAGATTTGGTGTTTCATACGTTCTATGAGCCAGAACTGTTGGATGCTGTCTTCACAGACAAGACCTACAAGTCTCTCATGGAATCTGTTGTGATAGACCTGAACACTCTCATGGACGAAGGAAACTTGTGAGGGTCCGTTGTCCCCCAGGCTGATTAAAGCACTGCAGTTGTGATTATTATACTCTTTGGACATGGTAGCTATGTATTTCCACTACTGAGATTTTAGTATTGTGAGTGTGTGTGTATGTTTGATCCATAGTTTTATACAGGGCTTCAGATGGATGATACTGTCCCTACAGAACAACATCATTAGTAGGAGGCACAAGAGAGCAGATGTTGAGTGCAGCACAGGGGTGAAATTAGAAGAGTTTCCTCTACTGTGATTTTAGTTTTGTGTGTGGTTGATCCATAATTCCAGGGCTAGAATGCATCAGTTTAACAGTCCAATAAATATATAAGAACATAATTAGTAATAATCACAAATAGCGGCAGATGTTGGGTGTAGCACTGGTGGATGTTAGTACAGTCTTCTTTCATGGCCAGTTGGAAGTTTGCTGTTATTTATTACTGGCAGGACACTGCATTGATCATAAAGAAAGGCAGTGCCTATTATTCTTTGTACTTTTTATTAGCAGCTAGTTGATTGCAATCTTTTGCTGAAATCCTTTATTGATTGCAGTTTTTTTTTTTTTCATTAACTTCCTGCAGTAGGTTGGAATTCTCATGTTAAAATACTGCTAGTGCTAGTATAACTATAATAAATAAAAAATGCAACTGATTGTGATATTTTAACAGAATCCTTATTGTAGTTTACTTTTCTAGAATTCTAGAACCCAGCATTGATTGTAGTCTATTGTAGAACCAACAGTTGGTTGTGGGTTTGGTAGAAGGTGTGTGTGGGGTGGAGGAAGGGGGTCCAGAATCCAGCCTTTTTTGAAGAACCAGGCAATAATTGTGCACATCCCCACCCACTGAAACCCAGCAGCATTGATTTAGTCTTTTGTAGAACCTACCTTTGATTGTGTGTTTTCACTTTTGTTCAGAATCTATCATTAAGAACTGGGCTTTGATTGTACCTTTTTGTTTTCTTCTTTTTCTTGAACCTAGCATTGATTGAGCATTTTTTTTTTTTAAGAACCTGTCTTTAAATGTTTTTTTTCCCTCCTTTGGGGGGGGGGGGGGGGGGGGGGGGGGGGTTCCAAATCCAGGATTAATTGCAGTTTTTTTTTTTTGAAGAATTGGGCATTGATTTTAATGGTAGAGGAGATAGACATTAACTCTTTCCGTCCCAGGGGATTTAGCATCAGAGACCCAAGGGGTAGTTAGTATAGAGAAATGTATAATCAGCACATCTGATGTTCATTGGGCTTCTAGATAGGAACCTATGAACATATGATTCACTTTAAGGCACTGAAAGAGTTAAATGCAGTACATTCGTTTTTTTTTCCAGAAGACCACAGTTGATTGCAGTTTGTTGCAGAACTAATCATTGATTGCAATCTCTATTACAGCTCAGTATTAATTGCTGTACTGCCTGTCGCAGAATCCAGCATTAATTGCAGTCTTTGACAGAATTCATTGTTGAATCTTTGATGAAAACAGTTTTGGAATCAGAATTTTTCTTATAACGACACTTTAATTGTTGTTTACATCTTTCTTGAAGGGGCAGCTTGATTGCCTGAATTATTCTTAATAAGATGATTGTTTAGATTAATCGTTTACTGTTGAATGTTTGATCAGGCAAATCATTCTTAGAAAGTGTACTTGATGTTGTGAATCCTTGTTAGGATGAATCAAACCTGCTGATGAATCGGTTTGAGAGTTGTAAGGAAGTTTAGTTATTTCACATCTTGTTACTGCAGTTTTTAAATATTCAAGTGCATTTGGAGATAATGTGATGAATAATAAGAAGTACCTTTCTCTTCTGGGTTCCAGGGCTCCATTTCTAGGGCAGAAGGACAGACTGACTATCTCCTAATAAGCGTGTTGTAAAAGATGACTAAGAGTTTGATAAAATTGGATGTGTTTGGCTGAAAGGTGGAGATATCGCAGTCTAGCTGTAAATAACAAAACCATGTGCCAACTGCCTGTCTAAGGACAAACTAAGAAGATGAAGAAGAAGCACGTATATTGTGAATAGTAACCAGGAAGTTGAAGATATGCATTGACACTCACATATCAGCATTAGTAGGCAGAAAATTGCATTAATATATACATGTACATATTTTCAATCTGGTATTGTTTCTTATACAGATTATACCATTTGATGTTTAAATACTAAATGTATATAATCAGGTGTGATACATCTGCTAAATGAGGATACTGTATTTTATTTTTGCTATTTACTTTACCTGTCAGTGTGTAAAATGTGGTTAATTCTGTGTTGTAAATTTACATTAATGATGTAGTTCACATTAATTCTAGATTTACATTAATGATGTTATATTTGTGGCACCTAGAAGTGGCATGGAATAAGAAAATGGGATAGGTGCGTGCATTTTATTAACCAATTTTCTCTTTCTAAAGCACGGCAGATGATGGGAATGAGTTAGGTCATGTTGTTAGGCTGGTATCTAGGTCATGTTGTCAGGGTGGTATCTAGGTCATGTTGTTTGGGTGGTATCTAGGTCATGTTGCCAAGGTGATACCTATGATTTTATTAGCCCCTTTTTGCATGTACACTGGGTCAGTAGTCTCTGGCAGTGAAATGCTAACCCATAATAGCGAAATATTCCTAATTCAATCAGATCTTGGTTCCATATGAATACATAGTTTAGGTCAACAATTCCCTGGAGTATAATTTTAGCCTACATTTGAGTCAGGTTCCTCAGAAAGATATTAATTCTGTACCATACTGTACTTTATTTATGTCTGTCACCCAAAAAGTGTAATCAAAGCCTGCATCTAGAGACACCCTTTTCACTTTACTGATCATATTTATTGTTTTCCATCTGAAGATCATTGTTTATATCATACAACATAGCAGACCACTAAAAAGCCATATAGAAGAAAAGAGGGGAAAGCAAAAGTCAGTGAGTATCTCCTTCTTCTTCACTAACTCTTTTACCACTTCAGGTGTTGATGGAGATATAAGGTTCTGAGAGAGCATCCATGATACAAATTCACAGACCTATTGTGAAGTTGTAGTCAGAGAACAGCATGACAGAGCGCTCAGCCAAAGCTCCTGAGATTCATTACTACCAATCTTCACTCTACAGATGGAGATGATGAATGGAGACTAATTTCTGTGAAGTTATTACTTCCATGGCCTGTGGGGTTTCCTCTTCATTTTTCCTAACAATACACAAGACAGTTAGCCAGCCTGAATCTGTGGGAAGCTTGAGGGAACCACTAAGGGGCAGGTCCCACTAGGGAAACATCTTATTTGTGCCTTATTGTGCTTTATGACTTTGTCATCACTGCTGTTGACTTTCACTTGTATAATTACACATTAGTAGGCCAGTTTTACGTGTTTCTACAGAATTTAGAGGTACGACAATCATCTGTGAGGCACAAGATTACATCCACAAATGATGAAGGCAGTAACAGTGTTTGAAAAAATTATGTCCAGGTTACATCCACAAATGATGAAGGCAGTAACAGTGTTTGAAAAAATTATGTCCAGATTACATCCACAAATGATGAAGGCAGTAACAGTGTTTGAAAAAATTATGTCCAGATTACATCCACAAATGATAAAGGCAGTAACAGTGTTTGAAAAAATTATGTCCAGATTACATCCACAAATGATGAAGGCAGTAACAGTGTTTGAGATAATTATGTCCAGGTTACATCCACAAATGATGAAGGCAGTAACAGTGTTTGAGATAATTATGTCCAGGTTACATCCACAAATGATGAAGGCAGTAACAATATTTGAGATAATTCTAAGCTCTTAGCTGTTGTGAGTGAACACACTACAGGAGATATTAATTCATACAAACCATACTCTGCTTATATTATACACATTTTTAGAAATTTATGTGATGGTTCAGAATGTGCAGTGCGCACTGAAAATGGTCTCAGTCACTGGTGTTTGTGTGCAAACGAGTAAAACAATGCTGCATTTGATCTCTCTTGTTCTTTTCAGCTGATGTCCCTTGCTGTCTCCCAGGGCTTCATCTAGAAGATGTTCATTGTCACTGGCGACGTAGTACATTTTTACCTGTAACACCTTGTATCTTTCATATAGGGATGGCAATGCAAGTATTGACTTGTTCCCATAAACATCCCATAATGAGTTGTATGGCTTCATTTTGCATGCATTTAGTTGTGAGCCACAAAGAAAATCTGGAACCCAAGGAAATTGTAGCTATGCGAGTCATTTTGGGGTCTACACAGGACACACCAGTTGTGTGATTTAGCACATTCTTGCATTACTGTCTGTAGGTGAAAGGTACAGCAAAAACCAGTGACCCCTGTCTGCTACAATATGCCATTTTTTTGCAACAAAAAAGCTGCCTCATGCACTTAGAAAACATGGTCAAAATAAAAATGTGGACCAGGAAGTAAAAGCAGCCAGTGTATGTGTTGACCACACCATCTGTCAAGTGTCACTTGGTCTATAAAAATATGAGTCTACCGTGAAATGCCCAAACTGTGCCAGTGGGTGCTTGAGGGGTCATTTACAATTATGTACTTAAACTGTCAGGGTGTGTCACTTGGCAGAGTAAGCGGGTACTTCATCAGTCCTGCTCATTCTCACAACAGGGTTGATGCTGTATATCTGCAATCTGTTGTCAATAAAACTGGCAACATGGCTTTAACTTTTTAATAATTTATCTAGAGATTCCATTATCTATTTTTCTACGTTTTTGTGTGTGTTGCTCCCTTATGTAATGCTTTTGTTTTCTGACATGCTCGTTATCATGAATATTTCTCACAAGTATTAACTATCTTTATGTTGCCGTGACCATTTGTAACATATATGTATTTGTACATATAAATATATATCTTGAATGTATGTATATATAATGGTAAAACGTTACTGTTTGCATTCCATTGCATCATATTGGGGATGTAGTACCAAGCTTATATTGTCTTGATTAAATTATCTTCTCTGGGTGGTGTGGTAGTATCAGCATTAACTCTTGTCTTTGTGATGTGGTAGTATCAGCATTAACTCTTGTC